AGAAAGGGGAGTTTCATGGTGTTGAGCACCAAGGAATTCTAAACTTTGCTAAAATGTCTCATCTGTGGAAACAAGAAATGGTTGGGGCCAAATGTTAACCATTGTCTTTTTTAAAGCCCATTCAGGGATGTGAGTCCCACTCTTTTAGGTACCTGGAGTTCTTTGCCAGGAGGAGAGAAGAGGTTCCTGCCTCCATTTTTGTGGTCTTAACAAACCAGGTGCTGTGTCCCAGTTCTCTTCTGAGATCCCCAAAAAAGAACATCTTCCCATCCACTAACAAGATAGTACCTATCTTTAAAAGGGGACTAAAGAGAACCCTGGGACTTACAGACTAGCCAGCCTCACTTCCATCCCTGGAAAGATACTGGAACACATTATTAAACAATCAGTTTGTCAGCACCTACAGGATAATTTGATTCTTAGGACTAGTGAACATGGATTTGTCAAGAACAAATCATTCCAAAGCAATCCTATTTCCTTTTTTGACAGGGTTACGGGCCTAGAGGAGGTGGGTAAACAGGAGATGTGATCTATCTTGGCGTTAAGAAGGCTTTTGACACAGTCCCATCAGACATTCTCACAAGCAAACTAGGGAAATGTGGTCTCGATGCAATTAGTATAATGTGGGTACACAGCTGGTTGAAAGCCCATACTCCAAGAGTCCTTCTCCATGTTTGGCTGTCCAGCTGAGAGGGTGTACCTAGTGGGTCCGGCAGGAATCAGTCTGGGGTCCGGAACTATTCAATATTTTCATTAATGATTTGGAAAATGGAGTGGAGAGTATGCTTCTAAAATTTGCAGATGACACCAAGCACTTTGGAGCACAGGATTGGAATTCAAAACTCCCTTAACAAATTGGAGAATTGGTCTACTTGAGCCAAACTCCATGACTGGGCCCCTGGCTAGAGACTGGGCTGAAGTGAAACCCCAGAGCCAAACACTCCTCCTCCTGGGCAGTGCACACTGACCTTTATTGGTCAGATGCTGCTTAGCACTGTCAGAGCAGCTTTTTTTTCCCAGCACTTTCCCATAGTGGGAAAGTAGGAAATCCCCATTTGACTGCTGGGGTCAGAGTCATAGAGTGGGGAGCAACTTGCCCAAAGTCCCACAGGTCAATAGGAAAACCAGCAATGGAACCCAGGAGTCCTGACTCCCAACCCCCTGGTCCAGTCACTACAACAGAGCACAGTCCCCCTCAAAGGTAGGGGGACTGGACATGAGGGCCTGATTGTAATTGCCAGCTGTGGGAGGGAGTGTGCAGCAGTGGTTAGTGAAGGGGTCTGGAAATATGGACTGCTGGGTCCCATCCATGGCTCTGACACTTGGTGTGACCCTGAGCCAGTAGCTTCCCCTCCCCAGGCCTGTTTCTCATCAGTAGGGTTGGGGGGTCACAGTCCCTACAGCCCAGGGGAGTTGGGAGGCTCCAGGAAGGTGTGTAAAGTGCTGGGATGTCAGGAGCTGGGAGGCGCCGTCACCCCTGCACTAGGGCAGTGTTCTGCACCCCTGCTGCTGGCTGAGTTTCTCCGTCCCTTGGCAATAAGACAGACTCTTCTTTTCACAGCCAGTCGATCGCCCAGAGTTTTCCGGTCACCACCCTCTCCAGCCTGCCTTGGGCTTGGAGAATGAGGAGGAGGGCGAGCGACAGCAGGTGATCCTGAACATCCGCCATCCATCGCTCCATCACCTAGAGCAAGTGAGTGGCATTAGGGTTCCTCTGTGGCGTCTCCTGTCTGTTTGGGGAGAGGCAGAAAGAGGAGGAGAGAATCTCTCCCAAAGGAGATTGGATTTGCAAACTGCCCCCAGGAGCCCCTTGCTCTCAGACCGGGGAGGGGCTTCTCCAGAGCTGTCTCCAGTGTGTTTGGAAAGGTCCCAGCAATGGGGCTCACAGCCCTTCCCTTGTGGGAGACTGTTCCCAAGGCTGAGAGTCTCTGAGCTGGGCCAGACCCTGTGAGCGGCTGAGCATGGAAATCAATGGGAAATGACGGGGCCCTGGGCTTGCTATGCCTTGGGACTTTGACGTGGGGAATGGTTTCCCAGGAGAAGTCCGCACTCCTGGGTTCTGTTCCTTCTCTAGCCTGGGGGGGAATGTGCCCTGGGATGGCAGGAGTGAGCTGCTTGTCCAAAGTGACTGATGATCTTTGTGACTGACCCCAGTGCTCGAAAAGGAGGAGACTCCCCGGGTGTTGCAGCACCAGGGATGACGAGGGGGAACGTTGGGAGCAGATCATGCAATGAGCTCCTGCCAGCGTGTGGAGATTACACTCCCTGCACCCCTGTGGGGGGAGGAGGAGCTGCTCTGGCTGGGGCAGGGATGGGCAGGGACCAAAAAGGCTGGTTAGTGAGAGGCTGCCTTGACCCCAGACTCACGCCTGCTCCCTGCTCGGTTCCAGGATGGCCAGGATCCTGAGGATGTTCAGGAAGAAGGTGGCCCTAGAGCCTGAGGGAAGCAGCTGCCATCTTCCCCAGGAGCAGAGCGGCCCCTCCCTCCCTGCTGGTGTGGAAGGAGCCCCTGGCCGGGCCAGGAAGTGGAGGTGCCCAGCCTTCTGGCAGAGGAAACCCACTCCCGGCGCAGGCACCAAGGTGGGAGAGCCACCGGCCAGGCCGAAATGGAGCTGGCCCAGGATGTGGCTGGGCAGGCAGGACCCAGCCCAGGAGGGGAACCGGGCAGGGTGGCTCTGGGACTTGTTGTGTGGGAAGCACTGGCCCCAGGAACCCAGCCCTGATTCCCAGCAGGAGGCATCGCCCTGCCCGGTCACTGAGGACCTTCCAGCCTCCCCAGGGCAGGAGGTGGAGGATCCCTGTCCCTGCACCAGCAGCTCGGTCTGCTCCCCATGGGACAGCAGCAGGACCTATGACTCGGGCAGCAGCGAGGCCGATGGGTGCCGCTGCTTTGTTCCAGGTGAGGAGCCAGGCTGGGCTCAGGGAGGGGTGAGGAGGGGGCTGTGAACACCCTGGGTCCAGGCCCTCGACCAGTGCTATGGGGGTGGGTCCCCAGCCCAGGTGTCTGGCCTGAGCCACGTGAACCCCACTGACACTAGCCACTTTGGTCCTTGGTGCTCCAGTTGTGGGGTAGGGGGGCAGGCACCTCCCAGGGAGTCCAGGACAGTGTCGGGGGGTCGCCTTCCTATGGGCTCCTGAAGGAGTTGGGGGTTGAAGGCATCACTGAGAGAGAGGGGGGAGTGTGGCGCCTCATCTGCCCTGGGTCCCGGAGGTGGGAAGGGGACACATTGCCCCACCATGCCCCTGTCCTTTCCCTGAGTGGCAGCAGGCGTGACCCTGTCCCCTTCTCTCCCTGGTGCAGGGACCCCCAGGAACTCAGAGGACAAGAAGGAGGAATGGATGGATATGGCCACAGAGGAGGCTGCTCTCAGGAACATCCGAGAGCAGCTCCAGGGCCAAGAAAAGGTACAAACGTTCCCCAGCTGTGCTGGAACCGAGATTGTCCTGCCCCTTCCCAGCACCCTGACCCCCTGCAGAGGGTCTTGTCTCTGATGATCCACCAGCCCTAATGGGGACCTTTCTCCTCCATGATCTGGGACTCCCAAGATTGGGGTGTTTGTCACACACCAGCCGGGGTCTTCCCCCCACAGGCACTGCTTGTGCAGGAGTCATGGGTGATCTGGACAATGGGGGGGTCCCCACTCTCCCCCATTCAGGCCTGAGTCCTGCAGCTGGTGGGGTTGGGGCAGGGAGGTCCCTGGCTAACTGGCTCTCTCTCCCCTAACCCCACTCCTGGTGGGTGCAGGATGAGGCCCAGCACCTCATGTTCCTGCACACCATCCACCCTGCGTGTCTCGCTGCACGTCAGAGAGGGCAGGACACACTGGAGCCGAACTGCTGCAAGGCAGCTGTAGTGGAGAGGATTGTGGTGAGCGAGACACGGTGCCCAGCAGCTGGAGGGAGGACAGAGACATGGGAGGGCAGGAGTCTCTCTGGCCCAATGGATGGGGGCTGGCTGATGCTGGAGGGGCAGCTGCGGGCAGGGATTGCTGGGGCTGAAGGTTGGGGAGAAGAGATGGGAGAAATTCTGAGATTGGGCAGGAATCGGAGGAGTGGGAGGCAGGTGGGGTGATCCTGCTGGCTGTGTGGGGCGCTGACTGTGTAATCTCCTAACTGGGAATTGTCAGTGAGGCCTGAATCTCACACACTCCTTTGTCTCCTTTGGGTCTCACAGGAGTTCATTGAGGAGCTGCCTGATAACTCTCCACCCGGCGCCGTCCTTGCTAACTCCCTGATTGCTGTGGGCAACCTCAGGTACCGAGACCCTCCCTCCTGGTTCCCCTAACCCTGGCGCTGCTCAGGCCCAGGGCTGTGAGTCACTGACCCTCCCACTCCCAGGTCACCTCCCAAGGGTGGCTCCTCTGGCAGAGGTGGTGGGAAGGTTCACTCTCTCTGGGCTGGGCTGTTCTTTTCACTCCAGTAACATTGCAATGGCTTTGGGGAGAGGCTCCCTCCCAGGATCAGATACAGGAGGGGCAGCAGGGTCCAGGGAAGAGGCGCTATTCCTGCCCTGCCACTGTCTGTCTGGGAAACCTTGGCCTTGTCATTCCCTGGCTCGGTGCCTCAGTTTCCATTCTCGCCAGCCTGTGCCTATTTCCCTGCAGTTTCACATCCATGTTGGTGATAGTCCCACCACCGCACTGCACAGTCTAATACCAGCTCCTCTCTCTTGCCAGCGCCATGACATCTGCCCTGGAGCCAGAGCTGGAAACCCACCTCCTTCAAGCTGCCCTGCATGCTGTCTTCACCCTGGGCACGGAGAAGGACACCACCCAAGTCCAGGTAGATCATGCTAAAGTCATGGATTGAAGAGCCACCTGTCATCCTGCCATGAATCCTTGCTAATTGCCTGCAGTGGGATGTGAATGAGAGAGGCCAGGATATGTGTTTGGGGGTCTCACCAGTGCTTCCCAGAGACCCCTCTTCCCATCCTGTGGCAGGTGTAGTCCCTCTTTCCTTAACTCTGACCCATGGCTCTCCCTTGCTTTGCAGGATCTGCATAGGGTCTTGCCAGACCTCCTGGATGCCATGCTGGGGAACCTGCTGGCAGAGTCCCCAGACACCGGCAGGCTCCACTACTTCTTGGAGGTGAGCCCGATGAGAGGGGTGGGGGCAATTTTACCTTAACTCTTAGATCCATTTTCCAGTCTGTCCTCTTAGCTGGGCCCCCAGTGGGCCGTCCTTGGTCAGGGCAGTCAGTGCAATGCAGTGTCAGGCCCTTCCTCCTGGAAGGACAGAGGAAGGAGCTGGGACTTCAAGCCAGAGCTCTGCCTGGTTCTGTTGAGCACTAACCACAGGGCCCCTGGCTGGCTTGGGGAGTGAGAGTCTGAACCCCTCCTGTGAGATCCAGAAGATGGTCCTCAGAGAAGAGTCATAGGCTCCTTCCTAGAGAAACAGGAGGACTCCAGAGAATCAGCTCCGACGGGCCCTGAGATTCCTGTGGGGATTGTGCTCACACTCAGTCCCTTCACTCAACCAAGGACTTGAGTGAGAGTCAGGGAGGGGTGAGGGGTCTGTCTCCTTCCTGGTGAGCTGTTCAGAAATCAGGAGTTCAGGGAGGATGGGACCAGCCCAGACACCGAACATTGTTCCAATCTAGAAAGACAATGACAAGTTGTGACCTGCAGGAGACAAGCATCGTCCTGGGGGCAACAATCCCCTTCTAAAGCTCTGCGATCAATGAATCAGATATTCCACCCTGTGCACAATGTCTCAGCCCCCTGGGGATCGGGGGTGGGTCTCATTTGCACAACACGTGCACCTGCCCATTGGTCCTATGCTGCCTCCTTTCCCCACAGCACATTAACTACTAGATCGTGTCCAGGGTGTCACAAGAGAGAGCCAGGGCCATTAGGAGCAGCACGGCCCTGCTAAGATTCATTATCACCCTCCCTGAGTTTGACGTAAGTGACCTCTGACCCCAGCTTCCTGACTCCAGGCGTAGGTGGGTTGGCTCCAACGAGCTGTAGGATCTGCTGCTGCAGGGGCTGTGGGTTAGGAGTGTTCCTCTTGGGGAGGCAGAGTCATGATAATGAGCTTGGCTTGAGTCATGTTCTTCTTGTCCTGGTTAAGTGATGACTCTGGGCTTTTAAGGGGACCATGCTCCAGGTTCATGCCTTCCTGTCATCCTGGAGCATCTGTGGAAACAAGTCCTCATGGAGGGCCCTGCCCACATCCCTGTGCTCCAGGCTCCCTTGGGGGAAGAGGAAATTAAGGATCTAGCTCTAGCTTCTATCCTCTAGGCATCTCCTGCAGAGAGGTGGAGGGGAAGGAGAGTCCTAGCCCAGTGGGAGACTGGGAGCTGACAGGAAAATGCTGATGGAGTCCCCTCTCCCTCTCCTTCCATTAGAACTCAGCAGAATTCCACAGGATGGGTCACCATGTGGCACAGCTGGCTCTGTTCATCGGTGACCCAGCCAAGGACATCAGCCAGCAGGCCAGGGAGGGGGTTTACCAGCTCTACCAGCTGCTGCTGCACCAGAGGAGTAAGGAACCCAGCTGGGAAATGGCACCCGATAGAAGAGTGAGACTGGGACCCCAGCCAATTTCTCTCAGACTGACCCCGGCTGGAGGATGAGTCTCTGTCTGTCTCTTTCTCTGTTCTACACCACCCCTTGCAATTCTGCTGGGCCAGGCACACAGCGAGGACTCTGCCCACTGTGCAGCCACCAATGGGATTGGAAGGACACAAGCACTGCAACCAGAATAACAACTGTGTGTGTCTCTCCCAGGGCTGACCATCCATGAGGCTGAAGACCTGTGGTGTTGGGACTGGCACCAGGACAGCAGGCTCCTGGGCTACAAGAACACAGCCAGGGTAGGGGAGGTAAGGACACTCTGCCAGGGCATGACACAGCTCAGGGAATGGGGGCGGCTGGGTCCCCTGCACTGGCTGCCTCCTAGGGCCACTAGACGGAGATAACGTTCTAGCCCCAGGATTTGGAGCCTGGTTCTGGGCAGTCTGCTAATGCCTCACGTCCTGTTGGCTTTAGGTCTTCGGAAAGTTCTTCTTGGAGGTGCAGACATCTTTCCTCTGGATGGCAGTGCTGGCCATCCATGACCCCCTGCTGCGTGTCAGCCAATCTGGGCTGCTCCTCACCTACTCCCTCCTGGGGGAAGCCCAGCAGCTGATGGGGGACAAGGTAAGCAGCTGCATTAGACTCAGGAGATTGGGGTGAGGCCCAGACCTCATTCCCATCCTATGGCCATTCACTGGCCTGTCAGCAAGGAGCCTGGTGGGGAATGAGAGTGAGAGAAGGTGCTACAGGGAAGGGAGATGAATCCACCTCGATGAGCAGGAGGGAGCCAGCTTGTCCCCAGAGAAGCTCCAATCCAGCTGTTTAGCAAGGCTAATTAATGACAAGCATTACCTCATCACAGACTCATGTTCTTAGGCCCCGGTACTATCGGTCTTGGGAAGGGCAGAAGAGTCCCTTAAGTGCCCTCTTCGAGCCTCTCCTGTTCCACAGGGCTGCACCAGTTCCCAGTGGCCTAGTGCAGTGGTGAGCTGGAGCCGGTTCACTGGAACCAGTTGTTAAATTTAGAAGCCCTTTTAGAACTGGTTGTCCCGCGAGATTTCTAAATTTCTATATTTAACAACTGGCCAAAAGTTGGGGCTGGAGCACCCATGGGGAAAATTTGGTGAGTGCAGAGCACCCACCGGCAGCTCCCCACCCCGTGCCTGGCCCCAGCTCTCCTCCGCTCCACCTCCACCTCCTCCCCTGCATGCGCTGCCCCGCTCTGCTTCTCCGCCCCCGCCCCTGGTTTCCCGCAAATCATCTGTTCACGTGGGAAGCTGGGGAGGGCTGAGAAGCAGGTGGCGGCTTTGCACTCAGGCCCAGGGAGGCAGAGGTGGGCTAGGGGCGGGAGATGCGAGGAGGGCCGCCCGCGCCACAGCAGTTAACCTGGGGGGAGAGAGGGGGGTGTGCAGGGGAACCACTCCCCGCACCAGCTCACCTCTGCCTCCCTGGGCCTGAGCGCGAAGCTGCCGCTTGCTTCTCAGTTCCCCCCGGCTTCCGGAACAGATGATTTGGGGAAGGGGGGGGGGGGAGAAGCAGAGTGGGGAGTGTTCAGGGGAGGAGGGGAGGTGGAGAGGTGAGTGGGGGGGGGGGGGGGAGTGGGTGGGTGCTGCACTCACCATTTTCCATGGGTGCTCCAGCCCGGAGCACACGGAGTGGTGCCTAAGCACCACTTTTGATGTGATCAATGGGGGAGCAGCGCCCCTGCTCCCCAGCTATGCCTCGCCTAGGAGCCAGAAGGACCGCGGATGCTTCCTGGGAGCATCACATCTTGGCCCCGGCAGGTCCCTATGGCTCTTAGGGGTGGGGTGGCACCCACTACGGTGGCCCACGAGACCCTCCTGCCCGGTTCTGGGGTCAGTCATGGGACAGGGGAGGGGGGTAGATGGGGCAGGGGTTCCGGGGGGGGGGGGAGGCGTCAAAGAACGCAGGGGGTTGGATGGGGCAGGAGTCCCTGGGGGTGGGGGTGGGTCACGACCCCCTCGTGGGGTGAGGAGGGAACCAGTTGTTAAAATTTTGGCAGTTCATCACTGGCCTAGTGTCCATGTCACCCGAGCCACCACCCAGAGTTGCTCCCATCACTGGCAGCCTGGGAGGCCAAGGACTGACGGGTGATGTGAACTGACCAGGCAGGGCTGAGGCACATGGGCGGGGGAAACTTGTCCTGCTGCTGGCAGGGCTGGACCCACTCTAGAGAGAACGGGAGGATTCAGTCAGCAGGGGCTGCTGATCTGCCCCATTCACAAGGGCTGCCATCCTGCAGCTTTAGCACTAGTGGCTGGGATGACTTGGGGAAAGGTCTCAACCCCCCCACATCCCACTTCACTGCTGCCAGAATCCCTCATCCCCCCGCCCCCGCCTCCCCGCTAGAGCCCCCTCCCTGCCCAACCTGGGTGGGGGTGAGGGTGGGGGTGGGGGTGGAGGAGAGGGTTCTGAGAACTTGAGCTGTGGATTGGAGGTGGAACAGCTCTCAGGGGCACTGAGGGGGAGGTGGCAGGAGCTCACCCTCCAAGGAGGGGGGTTGGCACTAGAGGTCACTAGAAAGGACAACAAGCCTCCATTCTGGGGGTCAGGAGGGTGAATCCATGCCTCCGACGTGGGCAGGTGCTGGGTGGGAATGCTGCTGGTTCCAGGTTCCCTTAATCCCCCCTGATTCTTCGGGGACGTCTGAGTCTCTGACAGGTTCTCGTTCCCTTGCATCAGGAGGACGTCGTGGCCAATGTGATGCGCCAGCTCTGCATCATCCAGCGCTTGCGCCAAGTGCCTGAGGCACTGCAGGGGCTGTGCCTCTGAGGCCACCAGCCACTCCCACTCCCAGCTGCAGGTACTGCTCTGGCTCACTGTAAATGGGGAGCTAGTGAAAGGGGAAATGGAGCCCCCTGGTACTCACAGAAACTCTCTCCCCTCTCTGTGGAGCAGGATCCTTCCCTCTGCCCCCCAGATTCCTTCATCTGGGGCAGAAGCCTCCTTTCCAGCTGTCTTCCAGGCCCTGGGATCTGGCAAAGCCTCCCAGACGGGCGCAACCTGCAGCTGAGCCACCTCAGGGAGCAGTGGGGACAGGTCACCTCCTCCCATCAAACCAAGCAATGCTGGCTCTCAAAGAGGCTTAGATGGAAGACCCCACTCCCTCATGGAGGTAAGAGCCATTTACTCCTTGGGGCATGTGGGTCTCTTGGGGGAGAAATGGGATCCCCAATGCACAGCCTGGCTGGGAGCTTCCCCCATCCCTGGCTCCCAGCTCTGGGACAGAGACGTCTCCATCATCATACCACCCTGGTTTTGTTCCTAGGAAGCATCTCCCCAGAGATGTCCTCGAACCTGGACTCCTGAGAGCACTTCCGGCAGGAGGCTCCAGCCCCTCAGGCATGAAGAGAGCATCAGGTAGTCTCATTCCCATGGCATCTCCTGTCTCCAGCTCCACTTCCCACAGCAGGGCAAATGAACCCATCAGCTCCCAGAATCCCAACTCCTTGACATCCTTCCGCTCAGCAGTGGGGTTTCTCCAGCACCCTCACCACACCTGTCAGCTTCTGAATGATGAAGGGCCTGAATGTCAGAGTCACCAGAACAAGCACACTCCAGTTCCAGGCAATGAGGCCTTCGTGTACTCAGCCCCTTTGGAAACCAGGTGGGGTGCAAGGACCCCAGCGCAGTAACAGTAGGAGTGGGCTAGGTGCTTTCCCCTGGGCTGCACAGCCTGGGGATTAGCCAAGCTGATTATAAAATGAGCCCTAACTGAGAGGCACCATGTACCTCCCCATAACATCACAGGGCTGTGATGCCATGTCTGCCCACCAGCGGGGCACGTAACTCCCAGTAGATTCGTTTCTGATTGGCATAGTCAGGAGGATTGAATTCCCCCGGTGATCCGTGAGGGCTGATGGAAGTCTTGGTTGCTGAAGGCAGGTCTGTTCTCCCAAGCGGGTGTCTCGAGGGACCGAGCTGGTCACTGGATTTCCCACTTCAGTTCCCGGGACAATTTAAACAGCCAAAGCAGGTCTAGGGGTTTCTCCAGCAGTTCCTAGAAAACCAACAGAAGCAGAAGGAAGTACAGGTGGAGCTACAGACGCAGCAGCAGCAATGCCTGTGAGAGATCCTGCAAAGGGAAATCAACCCAGGGTCTGCTATGCCCATGCATAAAAAGAGCAGACACAGAGAGCATGCCTGGGCTGTGCTGAGAAGGTTAGCCCAGGAGAGCAGGGCATGAGAAAGTCTACAAGCGTGGCCTAGTGCCAAGATGGGGACAAGACCTTGCAGACCCTCCACCCACACACCCTGTCAGATGCTGCAGGGAGGTGAAGGACGAAATGGTTGGCCCAGAGATGAAGCAGACTGAAGAAGGGACAACTACAAGGGTGGAGCTGTCCATGGTGGGTTCTCAGACCCTGACGGAAAAGGTTTTGGTGTATGCAGCAGCAGTAGCAAAAAGGCTACAGAAGAAGCTAAAGGCTTCAGAAGAGGCTCTGCAAGCAGTGGTTAATGAGAATGAGTGGCTGCAGGAAGAGCGCTGGGATACTGCAGAAGAGAAGGATTGCTTCTTCATTCTGGTGAGCGAGCTGGCAGTGGAGCTGGAGACTCTGTGCGTGCAGGCTGTACAAGCATGCAGCCGGTGACAGTGACGAGATGACGAGGGATGAAGCTTGGACAAGAATAGAACTTGCCCCCCATGTGGGCCAGGTTCTAAGGAGGAGGGTATGTAACAGGGGGGCTTGGCCTGTGGGCTATAAAGCCTGGAGCTAGGCCAAATGGATTACAGAGTGAGCTCCACCTGAGGGGAAAACCAGGGAAAACCACAGCAAAGGTACAGGAGTAGGCCCTGCTGTTCGATACAGGGCTTTGGGGCAGAACCTTGAATCCAGGATAGGACTGGTTCTCCCATGATCTCTAAGGAAGGGGATGTACAAGGCCACAGAAAAGGTTACTAAGGCCAGCAAGGGCAGGCTGAGCCAAAGTCAGGTTGAGGAAGAGCCCTCAAAGGGACAGAAGACCTTGTTTCTGTAAAGGACCTTTTTGGAATTTAGTTTGGGATGAGCGCAATCCAGGAAGGAGTGGACTCAAAGACGGTCACCTGGCTGAAGGGCTGAGTTCCCAGCCAAAAACCTGCCAGAGCACCCTAGCGACTATCAGCAGGGGTGCTAGCCCAGCAAGAAAGCTGTGACACCAGGCCTTGCCAGGAAGGGGCGCCTATTGGTGTGTGAATTCTGTTACAAGCCTGCTTCCATTATGGAAACAACCTCGTACTGGAGAGTGGTGGGGATGGCCTATGGGAGAGGATTGCTGGAGGGGTCATACAGAAGGGGCAGCAGGGTCCAGTGATGAGAGCAGGGAACGGGTTGTACTGCAGTCCTGCCACTGAGTGGTAATGTGATCCTGGCCAGGTCACACTCCTACCTGGTGCCTCACTTTCTCTATCTTTGAAATGGGGATCATCCTGACCCACATTAAGAAAGTGTTTGATCCTCTGCTCTTCCCTCCCAAATCCCTGCCCTCCTTGCCCCACACAGGCCTCTGCCCTCTGTTCGCAGTGATGACTGCGTGTTTGAGTGGCTGTTTTCAGAGAACTATCCACAATGACTCCAAGAACTCTTTCTTGAGTGGTAACAGCTAATTTAGACCCCATCATTTTAGACGTAGACTTGGGATTGTATTTTCCAATGTGCATTGCTTTGCATTTATCAACATTGGATTTTGAACATTGAACAATGCCATTTTGTTGCCCAGTCGTGCAGTTTGGTGAGATCCTTTTGTAGCTCTTGGCAGTCTGCTTGGGACTTCACTAACTTGAGTAGCTTTTTATCATCTGCAAATTTTGCCATCTCACTGTTTACCCCTTTTTCCAGATTATTTATGAATATGTAGAACAGCACTGGTCTCAGTGCAGATCCCTGGGGGGACACCACTCTTTACCTCTTTACCTGCCTTTACCTCTTTACCTGTTTCCATTCTGAAAACTGACTATTTATTCCCACCCTTTGTTTCCTATCTTTTAACCAGTTACCAATCCATGAGAGGACCTTAGGATGTACCTATATGGCACAATAATTCTGCATTGAAACAGTTGATTCAATTGCTTGTTCTTTGGGGTTCTGACCCCCTGTTCTCCCCATGGGGTGACAGAACCCTGATTGTCACATCTGACGTTTAGGCTCTGTCTCAGCCTTTCACACAGATGTATCGTGCAGCCAGCCCAGCTCAGGGAGCAGTGGGGACAGGTGATCTCATCCTGTCAAACCAAGCAACATGGGTCTCATTGAGGCTCAGATGGAAGATCCCATGCATCTCCTGGAGGTAAGAACTGTTCACTCTTCCTGCCACTTGGGGCTCTTGCAACAAACAGGGGGCTCCTGCTACATATCCTGGTTGGGAGCTTTCCCTATCCCTGGATCCCAGCCCTGGTACAAAGACCTATTTCTCATCATGATATCCTCATTTTATTCTCAGAGGATGTGTCCAGGATCCTGGATAATGTTTTCTGCAGGAGGTTTGAACGGGGAGAGATCAACCTGGGTCTGCAGGGTTCATGGGAGCAGCCACACTCCAACCCTCCACCTGGAAGCTGCTGAAAATTGCTTACCTAGGACCCATGAGTTCAGCCCCAGTTTGAGGCTCCACTCCTGAGGTCCTATTGGAGGAGTCCCAGAGAAGCTAATTGGCCCTCTGGCCCTGCGCAAGGAAGCAGCAGGAACAGGAAGCTGACTGAACACCAGGGCTGCTCCCTGTCCTGGACCGTGTCCTGCTTGTTTCTGCTGCCGCTCCCCTGGCTTGATTTTCTGGCATCTGATTTGTGGTTGCGATCACAAGTTTGTCTTTTGCTTCTGATCTTCCCGTATCCTGACCCAGCTGACTCTCGACTCCTGTCATGTGAGTGTGGACTCTGGCTCTGACCAGTAGGTCTGGCTGCCCTTGACCCAGCCGTGACATTGACTTTGTACAATTTCTCCAATGCTCTTTTTTGCTGTCCGGCAAGATACACCAGTCCCTTGGCTCCCAAAGTCCCAGTTGCCTGCTATTCAGGGCTGAGGGGTGGTGCTTGTATTGCCCCCACCCCCGCCCCAGCTGCTTTTCCTGTGGGAATCTCCCATGAGCAGAGGAGAAATCTGCTCTTCTCTTAGGCTCCGTCCCAGCAGTAATTCCACCCACCCTGGCCTCAGCTCAGCTACTTTGTTTACCTGGGATCAGGAATCACTTTTGAAGCCCTTAGCCTGTGGGTGGAGGTGAGAGCAGAGGCTGAAGCTCCTCCAGTTTCCACCAAAGAACACCACCCTGTCTTTCTGTGGTCTGACTAGGGCTCACCATCCATCTTGGAGGTGAACACCAGATGGGAGCTGATAGATTGTCCTTGGTGGGCCATGTTCTTGTGTGTGATGGAGCTGTGTGCCAGAGAGGGGCAGGAGCAGATGCACCAGGCATGGCCAGGACCGGGCTAAACAGCCTGTAATGCTAGGTGAGTCAAACCATGGCCACCTATAGACACGTTGGGTATACATGGGGTCTGAATCTGGGCCCTTCGCTGCCAAGAGCACAATTCACTCCAACTTGAGTCATTACGGTAGTGACCCCTGCCAGCCCCCTCTGGTGGTGGGTCAGTATTATCTCTGTTAGCTGGCGCACAGGGATGGAAAGCAACTGGCTGCAAAGTCTCACACAACATCATTGAGAGAGGCAGGAAGGAAGCATGGTACTGATACCAGTCCAGCTCCAACCACTAGACTCCACCCACTTCCAAAGCCAGAGAATCCAGGAGTCCTGACTCTGACAGCTAGGCCTTAAATGACAAGACCAACCTCCCTCCCACTCAGGAAGCCATAGAAGGGACCATCTGCTGAGCTCCCCTTTGCAGTGTCACTGTCAGAGACCATTGCTAGTGGGGTGCCAAGTGTCTGAGCAGGGAACTCCTTGAGAGACTCCTAGAGACTTGCAGGTATTTCCCTATGACCCTCTGGGAGCCGTGGAAAGAGAGCTGTATTGAAGACACTCTCCTGCTCTAACAAAGGGTGTCTGTTCTCCTAGATAGTCAGCCAGTGGGGCCAGTTTGCAGAACATGGAAGAGCCGTTTGGCGATGGGTTGGAGGATTCACCATGTAGGTGGCAGCAGCTGCAGTGCCTGGGGTCCCCATGGGCCAAGCCTCCACTCCTGACACTCCAAACTAATCTCCCCCTGCTCTCAGGGGGGCCGGTCTTTGGCATTAGCTGCTGGGCCTGTGTGCCTAGGCAGAGGGCTCAGGTATTTCCATCAGGCTGCTCAATGGCAAATGCAGCCATCCACAGAAGTGAAGAAGAATGGAAGTGAAAGAGCAAAACTGGGCCATCCGCTGAGATGCTGCAATCAAGTGAGCAGAGCTGGGGAGAGAAGAGGGAGAACTCAAAGGTGGCTGGTGGCAGTAGGGAGGAAAAGCAGTTTGGGAGCCAGGAGAGTAGAAACAAATAGTTAATGATGAATACTGCGGGCTTTGTCTTGGGTGGTAAAGGGTTAAAAATGGGTCTCTTTACTATCACGCTAAACTTTAAAATAGCCGCGTATGATGAAAGGGCAGGTCCATAAAGGTAAGAGGTCAGTCTAGGGGCTTGAAGTCCCAGATTCTGTCCATATTGCATACTTCTACCAGCTGATCTCAACCCAACCAATCCCTGAGGTGGTAGCTGTAGTGAACTCTTGTCCTCTTTTTCTGGAGTAGAAAAAGGACACGATACATGTGGCCAAGGAAATAGAGAGGCATGGGGGTCACTTGCAGTGGTGCCTGTTAATATGGCTCTTGTGGGGGAGCACAGCAGGTTACTTTGGACTAGGTAGCAGCCACATGTCTCCAAACCTGCACATCCCAAGGCTCCAGAGACCTCTCTCCAGATCCCAGAGCTTCCTCAGAGTCCTAAGGAGCCAGATGGAATCTGGCCTCTCTCCCCCCACCTCAGCAGTCCAGAAAAAGTTATTTGTAGACATGTTATGTGTCCTCTCCTGCCACATTCCCCTGTTGGTGACTAATGCAGTCACAGAGTCCAGGCTCAGTGTCATGCATTCCTCTGGGCTGTGACTTGAGCTGCAATGGATCCTCCTGTTCATGGGCTGAGTGGGCAACCTCTCTACGGCCGTATCTGGTTTCCAGCCCACACGCACTAAGGAGGAGGTGATGGACTTACCCCAAAGGTGGGTTTGGGAAGAAGCAGAGTGAAGAGGTGATCAGAGAGCCATCCCATGGCATTCCTTCTAGAGTCACTCCAACAACCACCTGGCTCCTTCCTGGCGTAGGCTGCAGCCCCTAGGTTCCGTACGGAATTTCTGAATTAACCCTCTAGAAAGCTGCCTCTGGCTCTCTACAAGCTCTCTCACAGCCCTGTCACGAGAGGTAAGGAATAAGGTCCTGCCTCCCCCAACAGCTCGGGGGAATCCTCTCAGAGAAATCAGTGCCGGGCTTTATGCGTCTCTACAAACAGATCACTTTGCGTGGTGTTGTCAAGAAGCTGTGCAGCTCTTTTTAGAGCAACATTAACGCCCCCAGGGATTTCTGCTCTAAATGCTCTGGGCCTGAGGGAAGGATTCTGTGGAAAACAGGCCTTTCCCTTGCTCCAGTCCAGGCTCTGCAGTTCTGATGCTGCAGCGCTGATAGGGAAGGCTTGAGGGTTCCTGGAGAGCATGTTGCAAAGCCAGCAATCCCATTCTGCAACTCCAGCAATCCCATGCTGCCTCAGCCCTGGGGACATGTTCTCTTTCTCCCCCGGCACCTTCCAAAGGAGGGAAGAAAGGGACCAGTGAGGTGGAGTCTCTCCCTGGCTTACAGATAACCCATCCTGCAGTAACACAAGTGTGGACTCAGGGGAATACTGTGGTGCGGTGTAGGTGCTCTGCAAGGTATCACTCTTGAAGGGAAGCAATACTGCTCTTGGCACTGGAATCTGGGCAGTAAGGAAGAGGAGTTGCAAGTTCTCCCTGGGGAGGGGAAATGGGGAAACCTGGTGGGACGATGTGTATGACTGGAATGTTAGTGTCGCTGGTTACAACACACTGAGGTACGGGAGAGAGGGTAAAAGTGGTGGGCAGGGTGGCACTTTCAGCGGTTCTCAAACTGTGGGTCAGGACCCCAGAGTGGGTTGCAACCCCATTTTAATGGGGTTGCCAGGGCTGGTTTAGGCTTGCTGCGGCCCGGGGCCAAAGCTAAAGTCCAAGCCCCAGCACCTGGGGCCAAAGCCGAAGCCCCACTGCCTGAGGCTGAAGCCAAAGCCTGAGGGCTTCAGCCCTGGGCAGTCGGGCTCACGTTGCAGCTCCCCTGTCTGGGGCTGAAGCCCTTGGGCTTCGATTTTTGTCCAAGGCTTTGGCTTTGCACCCTCACCCGCACCCGGAGCAGTGGGGCTTGGGGGGCCTCAGGCTTCGGACCCCCTCCAGGGGTCACGTAGTAATTTTTGCTGTCAGAACGGATTCAAAGTGTAATGAAGTTTGAGAGCCCCTGCTTTAGACCATGGTTCTGTGACTGGATCTGTACAGATACAAATGTCACCCCGTGTGGATCTGATTACAGGACTGAGGTTTTAGATTGTCAACTGTTTGGGACAGGGATTGTCGCTGTGAAGTGTCTTGCAGCCTGTGAGCACCAGAGAAAGCAATAATCTACCCCCATTTAGAATAATTAGCACAGTATGTTAAATAAATGTTCCGACACAGAATACTGTGCTAGAGAATTAATCTTCATCTACGTACAAATGTCTAACATGTCACACCCCGATTTATGATTTAAACGCACTGAACCACTGGGAGCTCCAGGCACCGAGGGCAGCTCAGCTCCAGCTCTGACTGCTCAGATTTCTCCCGCTGGCCCCGCCCCCTGGCAGGATCACCGCCAAGCAGAACTCGGCAAAGCTTCTCAGCCTGGCTTTCCAGCTCCCGGGGCCGCCCCTCTTTGTTGCGGCAGCCAATAGGGGCGCTCGGAACGTCGGCGGCTGCCGGGTAACATGGTTACGTGTCAGAGAGTAACAATCATGGACCATGGGCTAAGGCGAAAGAGGCAGCCGCAGCAGCCCCAGCCTCCCGGAGGGTCCGTGGCGCAATGAATCCCGCTGCGACCAGGTGAGGCGGCGGGGGGCGGACTCAGGGCAGGGGTGGAATGTCTGTTAAAGAGCGGCCGGCAGCAGCAGCAGCGGGGGAAGCAGCCAGGCAGCCACCCGCTCCCTGCCCAGCCCTCTGCTGCTGGGGATCGCTTGCGAGCGGACCCGTCTGGAGCTGAGCCTGATATAAGACTGGTCGTGCTGCAGTCTGGGTCTCTGCTGCTGGCACAGAATCACCCACCTCCGAGGAAAGAGGAGAGGGTGAGTGTGGAGTGCGGGGTCTCTGGGCTTCAGTTCGAGGGGGATTCTGTTGCGTTTGCATTTTGGACTCCGGCATTGTCTCAGATTGAACCGGGTGATGCAGACAGGGATCTAGCCAGAGTGACAGCCCTAGGCGCGATATGCCGAGGGATCTAGCCAGGTCCAGGTCACTTTGGGAACCCCAGGGGTAATATGGGGAGAGGGATCTAGGTAGATTGCTATTGTCACCCTTGTGTGACGCCTGCAGGAGTTTTACAGAGAGGTGTCTCTCCAGATTGCTATTTTCCTTTTGTCTGTTAGTCTTAGTTGATACGGAAAGGGATCTAGCCATGTTGTTATCCTCTCGTGTGCCAGCCTTAGGTGATGCAGTGAGCTGAATGCTTTGCATAAACTCTGCTCCTCTTCTTCTGCTAACATGCTTTCTCTTTCCCCCTCTTTCTCACCCTCTGCTGGTTTTAGATTCAGCCCACAAGAGAACAAACCCAGCAGCACTCACGCTGGCTAATTTTAGCTAATAACCACTCTGCCTAGTTGCTGTGGCAGCAAGTGAGAGATGGATAAGGCTTCCTTGTTGTGGCATTGAACTGTATACATACGTCCTACTTGGACTACTCTCGCAATTCAAACCCATCATGACAGGCTCTACTTCCAATGCCCACCACTGCCCCCATCCCAAGGGAGCCAAAGGGGGCCGGTCAAGGAGCACTCATGCACGGCCTGTCAGCACAGCCAACAACGGGGGCTCAGAAGAAGAAGACAAAGATGGAGGGGTGCTTTTCCTCGTCAATAAAAGTGGCTTCCCAATCGACGGGCAGACCTGGGAGAGGATGTGGGTGCATGTGGCAAAGGTGCACCCTGCAGGCAGAGAGATGGTGGAGACAATAAGGAATGCTGCATACCTGGCTAAAGTAAGTGGCTCTAGGCCTTGGCAGAACCCTGAGATCTCAAGAAACTTAGTACAGCAGTTGCTTTCCTCTGTCTCGTGAAGTGTATGTGTACGTTATAGCTGTTATTTGCACTTAAGCTATAGTTAAAGATGCCTAAGTGTTTCCATTCTAAGCACCTGTTTTGCATCATGAATAATTTCTTGAAAACATCACCTATGGGTTTCTAGGCTTGATTTCTGCCAATATATGTATATGTTTGCAACTATTTGTTGACAGCTCTAATGCTGCACTGGCAATGCAAGTCTTCAATGCCACAAAGTTTTTTTTTGTTTTTAACAGTGAGATAACTATTGCATGTTAGTTATCTCAGTATAAAATCCTAATAGAGATAAAGCACCATATTCTATTATTTTTATTGCTTCAGCACCTAGGAGCCCCAGGCATGGACCCCATTCTTCCAGGTGGGGTACATAAACAGATCAAAAAGATGGTCCCTTCCCCAAAGAATTAATACTTAGTTTGTAAGAAAAAAGACAACAGATGTACTTCCCCATCAGTTTGTCTGTATCCAAGGAAACAGATGATGTTGGTCAGTATGATAGGCTATGGTCTCTGCACATCAGCAGCCTAACTTGTCAAGTTTTTTTGGTAGGCATCACAGCAAAGGCGAGCTTTGAGGAAGGATTTGAAGGTGGATAATGAGGTGGCTTTGCAGATGTGTACAGGGAACGCCTCCCAAGTGTGGGGTTTAAATGGGACCCTCTAAGGGTTAACTTGGTGAAAACTCTGCTGGAAGGAACACCAGCTTCTGAAGCCTGTGGGCCTGACGGTATACCTGGGTGGAAATGGGAGAAAGCACAAAGGTGTTTATTTGAAAATTTAACAAGAGGGCAATGGTGACTGGCCTCATGGGCCCGGGTGGAAGTGGGAGGAGACCTTACAGTTCTGAATGACAGATAATAGGTAGGGTGGGGCTAGGTCGTGAAAGATTTTGAAAGGGAAGACAAATCGCTTATATTTGATGTGATAGACAAGAGGGAGCAAATGGAGGGATGCCAACAGATGGGTAATGTGACCAAAGCAATAGGCTAGAGAAATGATCTTTGCAGCAATGCTCTGAATGGATCTGAGTGGGACATTTGTGGAGGCCAGGGAAAAGGATGGTGTAGTAATCAAGATGCGAGATAACAAGAGCTTGGATGAGAGTTTTGCTGTGTGAAAAGACAAGAAAGGTCTTATTTTGCTGATGTTCTGCTGAAAGAATCTGCAAGATTTAGACGTGGACCTCTGTTTAGGTCCTCACATCCAGGCTGAGTTGCACTATAGAGTTTACCGTGAGGTAGCTGGTAGGCAAGGTTGGTGCTATACCCTCCACCTGTGGTTGACCTTGCAGTACAACTAAAATGCCTTGTCTCCACTAGGGTTTTAGCTAGTGCACTCTAGTTAATCCATGGTAAAAACACACTTTTTTTTTTTTTTTTAGCGGTCTAGACCAAACCTAATTTGAAAATTAGCAGGTTAACAACCCTCACTGAGAAGTGCCTTGGAGTGTTCCGGTGAATATTCGTTTTGATTTGGCAGTTAGGAGAGCATGAAAACCGCCCTTCGCGCATGGACAGTGCACTCAGAACACCCCTAACACTTGAAAAGCAACGTTCAGATGGAACTGCAGCTGCGCTGTGCACAAATGTACCATTCGCTCAGCTGCATAGTGACCATGCTCCAGATTGAATGAGGAAGAGCTCTTAAGGGGTCCTGCCTCAGCCAAAGCAATCTTAAACCTTGACTTTACAACCGTGCTGTGGACTTTCCTGGCCTTTGAGTTCTTTATTTATGCTCTATCCCTGTCTTTTACCCTGTGTCTGTCTTCTCTGTTTAGAATGTAAGCTCATTAGGGCAGGGGCTGCCACGTACTCTGTGCAGTGCCTTGTATACCTGGCTAAAGTAAGTGGCTCTAGGCCTTGGCAGAACCCTGAGATCTCAAGAAACTTAGTACAGCAGTTGCTTTCCTCTGTCTCATGAAGTGTATGTGTGGGCTTGTACTGTGGGGCCCCATTCTTGGTTGGTGCCTAAGCACTATAGTAATAAACAGGAATAATAATAATTGCACAAGCTTGACATTCTCTTAATAAAGAGGGTGAAATCCTGGCCCCATTGCGTTCAATAGCAAATTTCCCACAGACTTCAGTGGGGCCAGGATTTCACCTAGAATGTGTGTTTATGAGACTTTGGCAAAGTTTAGGTCGGGGACTGGACTTCACAGCTGGAGCCCATCTCTTCCCCCCCGCCCCTTATATCTCTACTGATTTATGAATGCAAGACTGAAAAACCCTTGGTGAGGAATAGATAGTTTGCATGTAGCTTTGCATTAACATATTAGTTTAATGAACGACTGAGCTGGGGGTAGGTGGACATAGGGCATGTAAGCCATGGTGAACAGTTTAACGTTTCTGCTGGCAACATTTCCTGCTGAGACTAGCAGGTTTGTTTTGCTCTTCACACTCTGGTTGTCTCTCTGCTACTGCATTAGTAATCATACTGTATTTAACTATCTGTCTACCCTCAGAGATTATGGCTTTGATTCTCTAGTGGTGAGATCTACACTAGTGCAGATCAGGAGTTTTTACTCCTGGGAAAGAAGATTGGGATAGGCAGGAGGGAATGGTTTGATAAATGTAGTATGTGTATGAACTTCAGATGGCTAGTTATATCCCTGTTCTTTGCCTAGGTTAGTAACTAGGAGCCCTGTGCTTCTCTCTGCTCTGTGACATAGAGGTGGGCAAATTCATGGAAGGAGAAGAAGAGAAAAGGCCCAGATCCATAAAGGGACTTAGGCACTGCAATGCCTAACTTTTAGGCACCGAGAAAATCACTCGAACAACTTTGGGATCCACAAAGCCTGAGTTCGGTGCCTAGGCTTCATGTAAAAGCCAATATGCTAGGTGGGGAGATGCCTGAGCTAGCCAATGAGAGATGCCAAGAAGTGGGGAGGGCTAAGCTCCACCCTTCTGACAGAGTTCAGCACGTAAGTCTGGGCTGCAGGGAGGTGCCCATCTCTGCTTGTGATTCACAACTGGGAACTCCTCTCCCGGAGTCAGGTGGCTTAGGTGCCTAAGCCGTTTCTTACAAGAATGAGTTAGGCACTTGCCTAGTGCCACACAATGGACCATTGGGATGGGGAGGAGCAGGAGGATGACCATGACCTCTTCTATAACTTTTAGCCCAGTAGTTAGGGTATTCCCCCAGGATGTGGGAGACCCCCGTTCAGTTCTGCCTTCTACTTGATAAGAAGGGATTTGGACAAGGGCTCCCCGCCTCACAGGAGGGGGCATCAATCATTGGACTGTGGGATATTGTGATGTGGGACTCTCTCTCTGTCTCTTCCGTAGAAGTTGAATAATTAGTTAGGCCAGAGATAGGGATTCTCACTCCTTAGCCGAGTGGTTAGGGCACTCACTTGAGAGGTCTGGGATCGCTATTCAAATGCCTTATCAGACAAAGAGGGAATTGAACCAGGGTCTCCCCTATCCCAGAGATGTTACCTAATCTTTGGGCTAAAGGGAGGCTGCCTCTTCCTGTCCCCAGGCATTTTGTATGGAGTTAGGTGTACTCAGTATGCCTACTGGATTGGGCCCCACAGGCAAGATAAGAGGAGGAGTGCCTATCTTCCCCCAGTTTGTGGATCGCTCTGGGACTTCGATGTAAGTAAGACTTGAAATGTAAGATGACTTGAAACACTTTATTTTTAATCTGGTTTGTGTGGGCAAAAGTGGTAGTGGTCTATAGACTGTAAGACACGCACACTTTTTCCGTTCAGAATGTAGAGGGCTAGACACGGTGTGTAGGCCTTCCTGCTTAAAGCAAGGCAGAAGTG